CGGTGTGTGATGTTCCCCTTCCCAAGTCCAAGTGATCTCATTGTTCAGTTCCCACCTATGAGTGAGAACATGCGGTGTTTGGTTTTCTGTTCCTGCGATAGTTTCCTGAGAATGATGGTTTCCAGCTGCATCCATGTCCCTACAAAGGACACAAACTCATCCTTTTTTATGTCTGCATAGTATTCCGTGGTGTATATGTGCCACATTTTCTTAATCCAGTCTGTCACTGATAGACATTTGGGTTGATTCCAAGTCTTTGCTATTGTGAATAGTGCTGCAATAAACATCCGTGTACATGTGTCTTTATGGTAGAATGGTTTATAATCCTTTGGGTATATACCCAGTAATGTGATGGCTAGGTCATATGGTACTTCTAGTTCTAGATTCTTGAGGAATCGCCATACCGTTTTCCATAATGGTTGAACTAGTTTAGCATCCTACAGGGCCTCCGGATCATGACCTGATCCGAAATTGGTTATCACTGGCTAATACTATGAAAGATGTGGTTGATTTAGAAAGTGCCAAACCATCCATGGCAGGTTTCAGCTTAAACTCTTTCCACAGCCCTACACCGACCTGAGGCAAGGTCTGAATTCATTAGCAGGGCCCTGAGTGATTCAGCTCCTGCCTGCCTCTCCAGTGCATTTATCGGAGGCCCTCCCAGGGCCCTCTGGAGTGACTCATGTTCTCTCCTTTCATGTTTTTATGTGCACTGGGGAGTCAGCCTGAATCAGTCTTCCTCTGCTTTTCTACCTCTCTCTTACTCATTCTTGAAGGTTGGGCTCTGAGGTCATCTCTTCATGGAAGCCTTGTAGACTCAAGTTTAGTTTCTCAGCTTCTGTGCTCCCATTGTGCTCTGCAGTGGATACCTGTTATGCATACATGTGTGCATATATATGTATCTATTATGCATATATATGTACATAAATGTAATATTCATAACTAATATGCATTAAATACTATGTGTCAGTTGCACTTCTGGTCTCCCATGACCTTATGATTTTTTTTCTTTTTAGAGATGGGAGTCTTGCTATGTTGCTCAGGCTGGAGTGCAGTGGCTATTCACAGGCCCAATCATGGCACACTACAGCCTGGAACTCCTGGGCTCAAGTAATCCTCCTGCCTCAGCCTCTTGAGTAGCTGAAACTGTAGGTGTGTACCACCATGCCTGGCTCTCCTTTCCTTCCTTCTCTTCCTTCCTTCCTTCCTTCCTTCCTTCCTTCCTTCCTTCCTTCCTTCCCTCCTTCCTTCCTCTCTCTCTCTTTTCCCTCCCCTCCCCTCCCCTCCATTCCCTTCCTTTACCTTCCCTTCCCTTCCCTTCCCATCCCTTCCCTTTCTTTTTGCAGGGTCTCTCTCTGTTGCCCAGGCTGGAGTGCAGTGATGTAATCTTGGCTCACTGCAGCTTCTACTTCCAGGCTGAAGCAATCCTCCTGCCTCAGTCTCCAATGTAGATGAGACTACCGGCATGCACCACCACACCAGCTAATTATTTATTTATTTATTTTGTAGAGACAGGGTTTTGCTATGTTGCCCAGGCTCTCATCCTTTAACTTCATCTCCACAGTAGTCCCATGGGTGGTGCTAATAACTTACTCAGCCATGCAGCCAGGAAGTGACAGTAGAATTTTAACCTGGGCTCCAGAGTGATGAGCTTCAGAGCAGTGTGGCCCTGCTGTCCTTTGGCTGTTCTCACACTGTTACAACAACTGATATCATTCATTGGCATTCTGTCTTGACTGTAAGCTCCTTGATGGTGAGGGCAGTCAAGCACTGATCTTCTTCAGTAACTGGTATATTGTATGAACTCACAAATGGCAATGATGATGAATGAATTTAATGAGGCACAAAATAAAAAGTGAGTAATACATGGTCATTTATTTCAAGAGACTCACTGTGTTTCTTTCCCTTCTCTCCATCCCTCTTGTGCCCCTCCCTCCCTCACTTCCTTTTTCTTTTCTTTCTTTTTGTTTTTCCAGATAAAAGCGTTTAATAGGAAAGTTAAATATTAAAATGGCATTTAAAAATTTTGTTTTATTTATTTATTTATTTTTAATTTTACTTTAAGTTCTGGGATACATGCGCTGAACATGCAGATTTGTTACATAGGTGTACATGTACCATGGTGGTTTGCTGCATCTGTCAACTCATCATTTAGGTTTTAAGCTCCTTATGCATTAGGTATTTATCCTAATGCTCTGCCTCCCCTTTCCCCCCACCCCCCAACAGGCCCCAGTGTGTGATGTTCCCCTTCCTGTGTGAAAGTCATTGGCAAAGCCTTCATAACTAAAACACCAAAAGCAATTGCAACAAAAGCCATAA